TTCGGGGACTGTAGTAATGTATGACAACAAAAGCATGTATTTGAAGTTACAGCGTATGAAATGGATTCTATCAAACCACCCCTACGTGTTCAGGTTGATTTCGCACATGTCACGTGATTAAATCGCGAGCGCTGTTGTTTTCTTTCGGAGATAGGTACCTTTTTTTTGCGACTTAATAAAAATGGAGTTTCAAGAACAGCGCTGCAACATTAAATTTTGTTAGCGTTTAGGTAAAACACCTATGGATACTTTAAAATTGCTAAGAAAGGTGTACGGTGATTCTACCATGGCGAAATCAAAGGTGTAAGCCTACAAATAGCATCGGTGTTTTAAAGAGGGCCGAGAATCCATTGCAGACGATGAATACTCTGGCTGACCTTTGACTTCATGGAACAAGGAAAATGTTGAGTTGGTCTCTCAATTATCTAGACATTTTAAGTCGTTTGAGGGAATCCATTCGTCATAAACAGCCACAGATCTGGCGAAGTGGAAACTGGTACCTTCTGCATGACAACGCACCTGCACATCGGTCTCAAATGGTCACACAGTTTCTCACCAAAACTCATATTAATGTGCTTCCACACCCTGCCTATTCACCGGACTTAGCCTTGTGTGATTTTTATTTGTTTCCATCAATGAAAAAGCATTTGCAAGGACGCCGTTTTGTGTCATCAGATGAGGTGAGAGCAGCATCGCAGGAAGCCTTATGGGAGATTTCAAAAAATGGCTTCCAGCAGTGCTTCCAGAAGTTATACGAGCACTAGCAAAAGTGTATCATTGCCCAAGATGATTACTTTGAAGGTGGTTGTGCATCGGCAATATAAACTTTTTAAAGTAAGGAATTTTAAGCCAAGTCCCCGAACTTTTGGATCATACTACATATGTAGCCAATGTCAAGCAAGTACAATGGTATGCAGCTTTCATAAGGAAAGTTAATAATCTATCTACATTTGTACCATGCAGCAAAGGGTACAAATGTAGATAGAATTTTTGAATTATTCCAAAAAAACCTACGATTGGGCGGATGCAGCGTGGTCATGGCTGGGTGTTCCGGTGACATTGATAGATGGTTATGAGAAGATTCCCTATTTCTATGATGGAGATGATGGATGCTAAGATGATAAATGTGAATGAAGGAGAGATGGTTGGAGGGTGAATATGATCATGTTTGGCTGAAAGGAGTTGTTTGAGGCCAAGTTCCATTTTATTTAAGGATCTGTCAGCTCATAATATATCAGCATCCATTTGCATTTTGGAAGTTGTGGTTGGAATGATTTTTTGAGTTAAGCAAATTCGGATTAGTTGTAGTTACGTTTCGTTAATGGTGTTTACGATGGGAGGAATGATGAAGTGTCAGACATTCTTGATTTGAATAGCTGTTTTTCATTGGAAGTGAGATGTTAAGATAATTCCAGGAAGGTATCCCACGTAAGTCTCGGGAAGGACCAATATACCTGTGTTATTATATCTTGGTGATAATGACTGGAGTTTCTTTCTTTCTATTAGAAAGACATTTAATAGTTAGACTCATTGGAGTAGGTATTGACTAGGTCCATGTTCCTTGGTTATCAATTCGTTGGAAAATACGTAAGTAGGATATTATTAATTGTCAGGGACACAATTGATAAATTTTTCATTTCCGAGGTATAAGGAATATTCGCAGCTCTGTCTTGGTGATTGCCATATAGGAACATTTGGTGAGCATATGGCAATAGATGTTGTTTGACATCTAGTTAAATCATATTAAGATAGTAATATGTAGGATTGACGATTCCTAGATAAGGCAATAATTGGATATGAATTGTTATAATAGATGAATGATTTTATAGTTGGATAATATACTGGTAGTTGTATGATCTCATAGATGTCAAAGTATATCGTAAGAGTGATGAGAGGTATTTTAGCAAAAATGCAAAGTAGTTTTGGTAGCGCTATGGCAGTGATAGATGCCCATTGATAATATTTGTACATAGTTTCTATTTGTGGTGTTTCAAAGAAGGAATATCCCTCAGGTAAATGGAGTTGTATTTCCTTGAGTGTATTTAATAATACTTCCTTTGGAAGGAAATATGTTCTAAGTCTACCTTGTTCTAAGGTCTCACTAGCATTATGAATTTCAAGTATTAAGGTTCGAAATTCTCTAATAGAGAATTCTGTAGATTGTACTGCTGATTCAAAAGCTAAGTGATATTATTGTTGCATTAGTGTTTCTTCTATAAGAGTTTCTTTTTTCCTCAAGGAATAAATTTGTTGTCGATTTGTTTTTGTGATTCGTACGGTATCATTAAGCTGAGTAGCTTGTGATTGAAGGAGATAGATAAATTCTTCATTTGTTTGAAATTCTTAACGACAAAATATCTCAATTTCTCAATGTCTTCAGAGGTGGCCATCCCAAATAAATATTTTAAGATTTTGCCTCCGGCATTAATTAAGCCTCACTTTCCTCGAGTGGCATTATTGAGGGTTACTAAGATTTTTAGTTCATTGTATTCTGATTCATATTCATCCAGGGTTGTTTTTAAGAAGGTAAGTTCATTGGCTGATAGTCCATCAAGATGTGCAGAAGGGTTATCTTGATCTTGCTTTCATATTTGTCATTCACTAGGGTAATTAAAAGTTGAATATGTCATTTCAAAAGATGTAATTGTTTGTCATATGGATCGAAAGATATATCTGAAATGAGAACCCAGTAATTTGTAATCATAAAAGAAGTTTCCCTGGTGCACAAAGACAATGCCCTTGAGTAGATTATATGCTTTTTCCTTCAGTCCTATACAGATTCAGATTGATTTTATTAATAAAATACTGAGTTACAGTACATACCTGGTGCCATAGACATATAACCAGGTGCAGACAAGAACATGTTGGCATTATTACAGATCATTAACATTAGAGGCTACAGTAACATTACATGTGTAGTACATACAAAAGATGGGGATAAAATAACAAGTTGTGTGATACAGAAAACATGCATTAAAGTATTATATGGCAGAGAATCACAAAATACAGAATGTAAATAACAAAATACATTATAGAATAATAATGCAGACAAAGCATAATACAATATTTCAGTAGAAAACATAATACAATAGAAATTAACTAAATTTACAATGACTTATTTGAGAAAATTAAAATACATAAACAATAATATAAAATTCAGTAAAAAAGAAAAAACAGTGTGTTACAAAGTAATAGTAACTGTAGCAATAAAAATAAGACAATACAACACAGTTAATGAGAAAGGTTATTTGTATGCAGGAACGGTGGTGCGATGAAAGTATGCACTGATGAGCCTTGTGAGGGCCTCATAATATGCAAATAATGCATAAGGGATCTATTCATCCCAATCTCGTTGATCTTTGACAACATAGTGCAATATAATGTCAATGAGAGTTTTGTTGAATCTTTCAACTATTCTATTACAGGCAGGATGATATGCAGTTGTAAGGAGTCTCTTAATATGAAGTAATTCACCTACTAATTTAAACATTTTGGAGATTAGATTTGAAGCTCGATCCATAAGGAGTTGGATAGGAGTTGAATGTCTTAACACGATGTTGGTAACGAAGGTTTTGGCGATAGTTTTACTATGAATGTTGGGTAGAGGTATAGCTTTGGCATATTGGCTAAAACGGTCGACAAAGACTAATACAGTGGTACCTCAGGATACGAAATTAATCCGTTCCAAAACTGAGATCGTATCATGAAAATGTCGTAAGGTGGATCATCTTTTCCCATACGATTACATGTAAAACCAAATAATTCGTTCCAACGCGAAAAACATACTCAAATTAAAGCCAAGTAATACATTAAAAAATATAACTGTAGTAACAAAAACAAATGAAAAATGCGAACTAATGTAACGTCGTATGGTGAGTTTTTGTTTGTATCGTGGAGCAAAAATATGTTCGAATTTCATGTCGTATCCTGAAAATTTCGTATGCTGGGGCGTTCGTAACCTGAGGTACCACTGTATATATTTATTTCCATTGGTTGTGATAGGTAAGGGACCTATAATATAATGTCCATAGCTGTTTGTTCGAAGAGATGTGTCAAGGAAGGAAATAATTACAGTTCCACTTCCTTTCGTTTATCTTTTCTTTTTTGTAGGGCTCATCGTTGACAATCTTGACAATAGTTTTTTTATATCTTTATTCATGGTTTCTCATTCTTGTGATTTCTATCAAATGCATTAATGCATTTCTGTTGCATTGGGAAAAGTGTATTAATGTTGGTGGAGACAATTTTGATTGAATATGTAAGTTTTAAATTAAATTAATAAGCATTCAAAGTCAGAAGTAAAAACAGTCATTTCATTTGCAATAACCTAATATTAGTAGCAGTAATGTTATCTGATTTAATTTGGTAATTGTTTGGCTTTAGTATAATCATTGAACTTTAAGATGTTTATACAGTAGAGCATTGTTTATCCGAAAGTCAGTTATCCGAAAGAATTCCAGTTGGCAAATTTAAATTTTCGCTAGTGCTGTGGCGCTGCAATCTTTGGCTATGTCTTGGGCTACTCCAATATTTTTTATGTTTGTGTATGTGTTTTTGCTGGCAGCACTGGCACTTTTGTGTGGTGTTTTTCTGAGGAGTGTGTGTCGTGCTGAATCGAATGTATTTGATACTAGATCAACTTCTAAAGTATAATTTTTTTTGTTTTTATATTTTTCAATATATTTATTTTGCTTGTAAAAAATAAAGAAATGATTTTTAACGGTACAATAGCCACGATTATTAGTTTAAAAAGTTTATGTTAGGCTTAACATCGACGAAAATTCAACGTGAAGGGGCACGCAACGAAGAAAAATTTCAACATGGGATATGTTAATATATTTTTTCATACATAATCAGTTATCCGAAAAATAAGTTATCTGAACAACCTCAGTCTCCAATTGATTCAGATAAATGAAGCTCTACTGTATATGTATATTGAATAATTACATTTTTGGAATTGTATTATTAATTTAATAAATGACAGATTATTGTATTTTTAGAAGGAGCATTTTTCGCTTCCTGATCTCTTCGATGAATTAACAACTGAAGGTAAAAATTTAGTCAGTTCGATTCAGGAAATGGGATTTCCTAGAGGTCAAGTAGCACGTGCCGTCAAACATATGGGAATGGACAGTAAAAAGGTTCTTTAAGAGTTTCACTTTTTACAATTTTTGTAATAAATTATTAATAAAAAAAACAAATTATTTACCTTTCTAGGTGATAGAACACCTTTGTCAAATTCAGCAGCTCGTGGAAATGGGTCACAACGACAGTGATGCCGAGATAGCTCTTCATTTTAACGAGTATAGTATAGAAGAGGTGCGTATTTTATTTTCATTACCCCAAAAAAAATAATTACAATGATTTTGCTGATCTTTTCCCAAAAATATTTTAGGCAAAGAAATTTCTAGATCTGATGAATCAACTGATAGGATTGGGATTTAAAAAGAATGCAGTAATAAAGGCTCTGGTACAGCACGGTAGCGATCAAGATAAGGTCCTAGATGCACTACTGTCATGATCCGTAAACAGATGATAATATAATATGATTTTGTACATAATGTTAATAATGAATGTCCTTTGGCAAAATTTAAAAATTTATCGACATTCCAAAATTTTTTTATGAGAGTGATCTTCGATATTGTTCGGTTCGTTTGTTTCCTTTATCGAAACGACGTCCACATCAGTTGTTTTTGGTCTGAAATATTAACATGCAAGTTTTTGCCTTAGTAGTGTAAATAGTCAAGAAGCACTCAATTTAAATGTGAATTTTTACAGATATGAAAACAAACAAATGATGTGCTCAAAGAAGACAGTCAAAAGGGAAAAAAAATGCTTCTTGTTCCGCCCATGTTCTTGCGAACACATCGTGTGATCAGTTTAAATCTTTAAAATTTTTCTCCTAAAGTTATAAAAATTTATTAAGCCATTTGCATGTTACATCACCACTGTCAGGTGGAAAATGAAGTCTCTGTAGTTTATTTTAATTCCTTTCTGTTCAGAATTTAAATTTATGCTATTTATTTTAAAGGAAATTTTTATTAAATTATTGAAACATACACTTTATGTCTTGTTTCTGACATCGTTTCCACAATATGTATCATTATTTAGCATACATATGCCAGAAATATCAATTTTTCTGATTCAGTTCTTATGGGAGAAAAGTATGAAAAATAAATGTTTAATATATAATATATAGCCACAGAAACTATAATTGAGATGTAGATATATATTGTATATGCTATATACATAGCTAACAAGTATTTGTAAATATCTCGGAAGATCTTTTGGTAATATATATATACATATTAATTGTTTTCACATTTTAACATAAGTCTCAATTTTTCTGAATTAAATCTACAAAAAATAATGCTCAGAATTTCTTGGGAGAAGCTCCTTTTTACGAACATACTAGATTCGTAGTTGGTGGATCTTGTATTATGGATAGTACGGGTAAAGATTTTCTAGTATTTGACGGTGTAATTTTAAATCAATTTCAAGCAATCCATGAATTGTCAAAATCTTTTCGTTGTCTCTTCAAGAATGTGAAGAGTTAAGAACAGTATAAAACAAAACCCACTCGCAAAAGTTGTCGTTATTGATTTTAGTATAAAATTTGCATGTTTCTATAGCAAAACTTTGAGAAAACCAAAGAATTTACATTAAATGTGGTGATGTAATGCTTAAAATGGCAGTGTAGAAATTGATAGACAGAAAAATACTATTATTTATTTCATAAATTTCAACAGATTGATTGCTTGATTTTTCATGATTCAGTTTCATGTGATATCAATTCAGCCTTTTCATTTGAAGAACATTTTTGTAAAAAATTCAAAAAGTTTGATTTCTAAGCAAATGTTAGAAATATTTAATCTGTTATTTTGCTAGGAATCAAATATTTTGGATTTTTCATTTTGTAGAAATTCAAAATTTTTGATTTAATAAAAAAAAAATCTTTTGGAAAATTATAATTTTTTCTAGCTTCTTGTATATAATAACCACAAATCCTGTTAATTCTCAAACCTGTAATTGCAAAATACATAACACTAACCATGCTAATAACTTTCTATGTTACTTCATAATTTTTTTTAATTATAATTTTAAAAATTTTGCTTCAGACATACTTTATATTAAAAAAAATCATATCTAGATTTTTATCTATATATAGCATACTGTGTTACTAATTATTTAACTGTATAGTTTTGTCTGTTGTGTATGGTGTGTTTTAAAAGGTAAAGTCAAATGGAGAGGAAATGATAGAAGAATTTGGGTTGAGTAAATAATTATAGAAAGTTTTTTATTTGATACAATTTAGTAAAGACATTGCGTTAAAGGCTATGCCATCATTTTAATTAACAAGTGAACAATAAGCAGCTACTTGCTTTGTGTTAATGAGGCAGAAAATACTCTATCACAATGACTTGTCTGACATTGATGATTAAGTAATGAAGTGCATGTTCAAAATGCACTCTCTTCTTGTGTCAGCACATTCCATCATTCTGTGAACCGAACATCAAACACTGTTCAACAGCTGGTGCTGTCATATTTTTTGTTGCACCAGATACAAGTTGTTCCTTGTTTTCCATCTCAAAACAGTACACCATTTTTATAAACCCCAAAGAAAGTTTGGTGGTCAAATATATTTTTGTAAATTTATAGAAACATTATTATATATTTATGCTGTGTATAATGTCCTGTATCACCTCATAGCCTAGTGACCATACCTTTTCAGAATATCCATAAAATTTTGATGATACAGATTTAGGATTTGAACTGTAATCTGTAATGACAGGACATTATCTATATGTAAGACGATTGATATGAAAACTTCTAGCAGAATGGTACTGATATAAACTTAACAGAACTGAATCTGCAAGCTTGCAATTTGACCATAAACTAATAGTTGCTTTAGGGTTCTAGAAACCCTAAAAGTCTAAATTAAACATCAATAACAATCTCATCTGATCTTGATCCTTAAGTGAAAATCATCAGACCTTCATTCTCAAATGTATTGCATGAAATCACGTACAGAAACTTTATACAGATATTCCTTTTCTCAGCCATGCTAAACTTTTAATCTTTAACTGTCACTTGAAAAGCTAAGGCTTTTTTATACCCATCTCAAGTTTAGTCAAGTCCACAATGAGATGGCCCCGATATATCCATCCTCAAATTTCTGAGCTGGCATATAGTAGACAATAACATTGTGGGATGGGTAAATCCAGAGTGCCTAGTCTTGACTAAACCTGTTAACTCAAATGTTCAATGTGTTGTGGTATGAACTCGTTTAATGGAAGTCTTGCTTAATGGGTTTGCTCTACATGGTATCTTGAAGATGATGTGGATTTATTATGCATTCAATATTGTTGATTTCATTACAGATGCCTTCAGATCACATATACTTCATTAAAATACAGTGGTACCTCAGGTTACGACCGCCCCAGCATACGAAATTTTCAGGATACGACATGAAATTCGAACATATTTTTGCTCCACGATACGAACAAAAACTCACCATACGACGTTACATTAGTTCGCATTTTTCATTTGTTTTTCTTACTACAGTTATTTTTTTAAATGTATTACTTGGCTTTAATTTGAATATGTTTTTCGCGTTGGAACGAATTATTTGGTTTTACATGTAATCGTATGGGAAAAGATGATTCACCTTACGACATTTTCATGATACGATCTCAGTTTCGGAACGGATTAATTTCGTATCCTGAGGTACCATTGTATCAGTATATAACATCTCGCATAAAACTCAAAACCTTAAGATTAATAAGAACAAACAGTATATCGTCCTTGAAAATATTGTCTATATATTCTTAATATCACTAACGTTTGATTAATTTTAATTGCTTGCAGACAACAAATGTAGACGATAAAATTTATCCACTAAGCTTTCGTCCCAATCTCGCTAACACGTTGCTTAGGTCAGAAGGATGGCTGGAGCAGTCAAGGCGGCAACTTACCGCTCTGGGGGACCCAGGATCGAATAATCCCCAGAAATTTTTCGGAGAGTGGCCGTCCGGATATGTCGGGCCCCGTCCCTCACCACTCGGCCGCCCCACTATGGGCTTGCAAAGAGAGGCCTCTTAGTGCTCACAGGGCGGACAGTTTAAAAAAATTGCTTTGGAATAATAATGGCGACTTAAGGTTACGTGATAAACTGCCAATAGAAGAGCATTCCTTATATGGCCCCTCGCTATTATAGCGCGTGTAGCGTTTTCTTCCTTCCACGTAAATTGATTCGTATAGCTTGTTACGCGTATTGTTTTCATTTAAAATAAAAACAAATTATCCATTTAATAATTCAAGTACGTATTGGGCGAGATACTACACAAACGACATTGAGAAACGATCCAAAAATGTACATTAAAATATTTTTAATTTCTCAAATCATATCCGACACGCTTATGAAGTTGAATTAACGGCCATTTTATTTTTTAGTAATATTTTACTCATCTAGACGCATTTTGAGTGAAATAATGCGTCATTGTACGATCTAATTTTAATGCAGTTGCATCTCTTTCGGTATTTTGATAGTGTCTGCTGAATGTTGTTAAGTAATTATAGATAAGAATTAACAGGAGTCATTCAACAATTTATTCATCTCGTTCTCTTTTAAAATCAGAGCAAAGAATAGCATGTAATTTTAAAATTGTTAAATAAAGATTTGTACATTTGTGTAAAACATTTTCGTAGCGTAGTGTAAGACACTGAGTCACTGTGCCTTACGGTACATTCACAGAATGTAATGATAAGCAGAGCATAAAACTGAAATATATTATTGTACTACATAATATGTAAATAATATGTCTAAATAAATTACAAATAAGAACACGGAAAGAAATATCAAACAACCATCTTTGTTCTTTTATTTCAAAAGAAAAGAGCATGCCTTAATGAACAGGAGGAACAAAGGAAACGTTTAATGGAAATTAAACCGAAACCACTTGTCTGAACAATAGCGATTACAACAAACTACGTCGTCATCCACTGGCAATGATTCTACTAATTTTCCTGTATTCTTCCTTCTGTCTTAGAATGAGCCAGTTATATTTATTTTAAATTATCATTAAACATGTATCATCCACGATTGTGTAAGTAATTTCATTAACTTTGAAGATTTAGAATCAATTTTGGTGACTGGCAATTAGGAAACTGCACCAAATAATCTAATATATTGAAGAATATTCAACATGATATTTTCAACAGCTGTAGTGAATTATTTAAAAATAAATAGTAAACAGGTAAAAAGAGGTAAATGTTTCTCAAGTTTTGCTGATGAAACAACAGATATTGGTACTATAAAGTAATTTTCTTTATTTACATGTAAATGAGATCAACCATTCTCTACAATTTTTTCACTATCATCAAAAATGAGGCATTGATTTAGCTGAATCTTTATAAACATTTTTAGTCAGTGTTAATGTTTGATACTTTAAGAGGTAAAGGTTATGATTACGCAATGGCTATATGGAGTACATTGAGAGTTTCGATCAATAATTAAGAAGGTATGTTCGTTACACGTCATTCATTATTTAGAAATTTATCTTGAACATTACAAGCTTTGGATAACTGCATTTCACTGATAAAAGAGACATATAATATCACTAATAAACCAAAAACAATTGCAGTGTTACAAGAAAAATTTCAGAAATGTGTCCAACTTAACAGGTTAATCCTAAAGCTCTACCATTACCATAATCAGGTCATAGTAATGGTTGAGCTTTTCATACCACCATTATTGTGATTGAAAATCATCAAAAGTTGGATAAGGACTTGAATAAGGCATGTGTGTTGATAAAATGCTTTAAAAAACCATATTTCACGATTTAACAAAACATTTGTTATCCTGTAGAAATTTACTAAGCGGCAATTTAAACTGAAAATTTGCATGTCTCTCTAAACAGGTGAAATTAGAATTTCAGAACTTAAACATAAACATTGCAGATTACAGTGGTACCTCAGGATACGAAATTAATCCGTTCCGAAACTGAGATCGTATCATGAAAATGTCGTAAGGTGAATCATCTTTTCCCATACGATTACATGTAAAACCAAATAAGTCGTTCCAACGCGAAAAACATACTCAAATTAAAGCCAAGTAATACATTTAAAAAAATAACTGTAGTAAGAAAAACAAATGAAAAATGCGAATTAATGTAACGTCGTATGGTGAGTTTTTGTTCGTATCGTGGAGCAAAAATATGTTCGAATTTCATGTCGTATCCTGAAAATTTCGTATGCTGGGGCGTTCGTAACCTGAGGTACCACTGTATAGGCCTAACATAAACAGTAAAACGAAAACCGTATAGAGTTGTCATTTTAGCCTACAATCGTCACGTTTATCACGATACTCGAATGGTACGAAATGGCACAAATTCAATGGTCAAGTAGACAGGAATTGAAAATATAACTTAACATTAGAATAACTGAAAAATTTAACTATAAGAAACTGTCATTCACAGCCGAATAACAAACGGTAATCTGCCATCCAATCAAATTCGCAAAAAGACGAAATATTTAAACTCGGCACCCTGGAAACCACTTAAATCATATTTTGTGCTGGCTGGTAACCTCGTATTATGTAACTTTACTATTCGAATGCCATCATACCGCTGGTCTGATTGGAAAAGGATTGAAGTTATGAAGTTAATTCGAGCCAAGTAGTCGTTCACCATCCTTCCGAGACAGAGGATGGTGAACGATTACTAATTAATACCGGTCTACCATTAATGTTTGAAATGTGATTCTTGTTAGACAGCTTGTGATGGCTCCGCATGTGATTGAAGTTGCTAACTTTAACGTCCGGAAGATGTCACATGAAACTTGTTTTTAAAAAAAATCTTGCAAAATGCTAGAAAAATTCATTTTATGTGATGATAAACTGTTTAAATTTTGGCAACAGCTTGTATAAACTACGTGGGAAGTTTGTTCTCGTAAATATTGCATTTATAGAAAAATTATTGGACCGCGATTTGAAAAAGTTGTAGGTCTATAAATTCCGACTGTCTGTACTGGATAGATTAAGGAGTTGGGTAGATTAAAGTCGAAATCAGATGTGGATTCCGTAGAGACACATTCCACGTGGCAGGAGGTCCAGATTAACTATATTCGAACTTTCGGTCTAAACCGGAAGTCACGTTACTTCAAAATTCCCGAAAGGAGTTAGATCAACGGTTCCCAACCTTTTTCGGGTGGCGACCCCCTTTTTATAAAAGCCAAGTGACCCGCGACCCAGATACAATTGAAAAAGGTATTTTAATAACGTAATTAAAAAACAATGAAATTAGTTTTTTAGTATAATTTTATTTTAAATTATGTTTAATAATTAATTTAATGAGATGGTTGAAATTGCATGTATTATTAACCAGTCTCAAAATTCGCGGGTGAGATTTTGTTAACGCCAACCTCATGTCATTCTCAACATTTAATTTATTCCTCTCAAAACTCTCAACACATGTTTCAACCAACTGTGACAGAATAGCGTACCCAGATTACACTTATTTTAATTTTTTAAAAATATATGAAATTATTCAAACTTTAAGACACCATTAAAAATAAATATTGCATTATAGTGAAAATTTTGTTTTAGTTTACTGCATAAGTTGGCGACCCCACAGAAAACCCGTCGCGACCCCCTTCTGGGTCGC